CTCTTAAGGACAACTTAGCTACTTGTGGATCTTTATTCTTCCATTTACATTCGAGAGTAGTTGGAGTTTCTCAAAAACAACAGGAATTTTTATCAGGGTTTCATGTGCATGACTTACAGATAATGACATCTATCAAGAAAAACCAATAGACCTCATAAATCATTAGAATGAAAAGAGTCTACACAGTGACAGCTTCAAGGTCAGTCTGCACAAACCGGTGGCATTTCTTCTATCAGCAGCCCACTAAAAAGTATTTCAGTTACAGTGAGGCACTTAGGACTGCTGCCAGAAGGACCATAGAGTGAGGAAGATCTTCAGTAAATAGCTGGCGTGAATTATGAAATGTGTGCAGTGAAATGCATGTAGAGCTGCTTGTCCCGCCTTCTTACTCATAGGCTACTATGTATTCTTCCACACTGCTTTTGGGTTTAGCCCTTGTGTTTACTATCACATGGGGCATGGTTATAAGGTGATTTCACCATTCCCCTATGGATAGATATTTACAGGTTCTGTTTCCATTTTTTTTTTTTTGGTGGATAAAAAACATCTTTAGCATCTAGTTTTTCTATTTTTTCCTTTTTTTTTTTTTTTTTCAGTGCTGGGGACCGAACTCAGGGCCTTACACTTGCCAGGCAAGCGCTCTTCCACTGAGCTAAATCCCCAACCCCAGCATCTAGTTTTTCTAGTTTGTTTGTTTGTTTTATGGTGCTGGGGATTGAATTTAGGGCCTCACACAGGCTAAACATGTTTTACCACTGAACTACAGCCCCAATCCCTTTCCATGAGCTTGGAAGCCCCTTTGAAATGAGGCTTTTGAGCACAGAAAAGATTGAGGTTATTTCAAAATCTGTTTATTAAGGTTATTGTTAAAGGCCTGTTTACTTATTTTGTTTGGTGCCAGGGATGGAACCCAGTCCTCATGCATGGCTCTGTCACTGAGCCACACCTGCAGCCTTTTCTGTAGTATAGTTACTGGCTCCCCACTGCACATGTGCGGGAGTGAGTGGAATAGCACGGTGGACCTACCCACTGGATACGCACCTAAGACCCGCTTCCTTCTTTCCAGAGGTCCATGTTCGTTGTCTTCCACAGCTGAGAAAGGAAAGTGATAAGCCAGAGCATTGCTTCATTGTCTGCCTATTGTATAGATGTTTACTGAGAAAAGGAGATGGTTTTTCCCTCCCTTTCCTTTTTCTTACATAGACTGGGGACCTGCAGATCAACCCTTAAAGCAAGCCTGTTCTGAGTTCTTTGTCAGAAAGTTTGTTGAATTGGTGCTGTGAGCCAGTGGTGTCCTCAGACTGAGAGCCCAGCCTCAGAGCTTTGCTCAGCAAGCACTTAATAACCGCAATAAAAATTGAAACCTGCCATGAGGAGAGGTAGGAGGTATGGGTATCAAGGCAGACAGAGCCATTGTACATAAATCATGTTTCCAAAACTATGTTATATCCTTGACTCGTTCAGGTTAGCATCATCATTCATTCTTGTTTAGTACCTCCTGCGCATCAAGACTGTGTTGGTTGTTGGGATGCCATGAGAGGGCCCTTGGCCCTTATTAAAGGACAGATCATCTAAATAAGTAGTTGAAATGCCACAGGGCTGAATAGACGGTGCTATTCAGAGGCTCCTGTGTGAGGAGTGGGGCTCACTGGGAAGACTTTGTGGAGGATGAGCTTTTTCCCAGCTTACCATGCTCACCTGAAGGGGAGGGAGTTTGGGCAGAACCCAGGTGGGAGAGAATGTGGGTGCAGTTGAAGGGAGCCATGATGGTTGGTTTGACAGTTTATCTACCTGGAATGGAGGAGGAACAGTTGGGGTGGGCTTTTGCCTGAGGGTGGCTTTTGTAAAGGCGATTTGAAGCAGGTGAGTCACATATACATTTGCATTTTAGAAAGCATAGAGAATGGATTGGAGCAGGGCCAGACCTGAGGCTCCTACAACTGCTGGGAGCCCCAAGTGATCAAGATCTGTCAGGACACTGCTGAGCTGAAAGGGGCAGTGGAAGAGAAACTGAAGAGAAGCTCAGAGGATTTAGAGAGCCAGATTTTGGTCAAGGCAAAAACCATTAGGAGGTGCCAGGGGATATACTTGCAGATGCATGGGGCCTCCGTCTTAAAAATGGGTCCTGGTGGAGTGCAACACACAAAGCATGAAGACTTTCCCTGTATTATCATTGCACTTACTCCATTTTATGGGTGATGTTCCCCATTATACCAGGATTCTGTTGAGAGTGGCCTTTGACCTTTCCTACTACAAACGGCTGTTCAAACATGCTGTGTTGGTAGGATGGCTCCTGGCAGTGAGGTTTGGGGCTGTTATTCTTGCCCCTGACCGGCTCCCCATGGACTTTCTCCTCACCTAGTCTTCCTCATCCTTGACCCTTAGTGGGTCTTAACATGGCTGGTACACCCCCTTTGGAGTTCCCTCTTTCTTTTGTCTTCAGTGGCCCACTTGGTTCAGCTCATGTCCCACCGGCCGCTGCTTCTCAAACTTTGTTGTACCCTCTCATCTTCTGACCTCCAGGCTACCTCCTTGCACGGCGGCTTCCTGTCTCTTGCTGGTGGTCTCCTCTAGTCTCCTGGCTGTACCTGCTGTATTCATTCACTATAGGGCTGCAATGCTAAATTACTACAAACTGAGTAGGTTAAACAATAGAGAGCTTGCCTAGCATGCTTGAGGCCTGGAATTGATCCCCAGCACCTCACAAAACAAAACAAAAACAGAAATTTATTCTGTCATGATTCTGAAGGCTCAGAATCCAAGCTCAAGGTGGTGACACTACTACACTTCCCATGAAGTCTCTCAGGGAGGGGCCTTCCTTGCCTCTTTCAGCTTCTCATGGCCCCAGCAATGCCTAACCCATCTCAGCTTATATTATATCACTATAGTCTCTGCCTTTGTCCTCATGTGGTGTTCCCCTATGTGTGTCTCAAATCTTCCTCTCTTCTCTTGTATGGACACCCAGTCACTGGATCCACAGTGATCTCATCTCAAGACCCTTGATGTAGCTCCATCTGTAGGATCCTAATTGCTAAACCAGGTCCTGGGTATTGAGAATGGGACGTGTCTGGGGGTTGAGGTTCAGGTTATCTTCGCATATGCTGACTGTACCCTGCTGCACAAGCATCTGAGAAACATCTCCAACCTGAAACATCCCATCTTGTTTCCCCTCCCAGGCCACAGAAGCTGTTCTTCATCTGTCTGCTAGGCTTGGGACTGCAGCTCTGCTCTTCCAGGTGTTCAGGTGGGAAGCTCAGACCCATCCCTGCAGGTCCTTTGACTCACCTTCATTCCTGACCCTCTAGCGTCCACAGCACCTTCCAGCTCCTGTGCTTCTCAAACCATGCAGTCAGCTCTGCACACGTGGTCAGAGCATGAGTCTTATCTCTTGCTGCTCATACCTCCTTAAGGTTTCTATCCTGCTTGGGACACTGACCGTAGAGTCACCTTTCACTCATCTGCCCACTTTTTCCTACACTTAACTCAGCCATCCTGTCTCCTGGCTTCCTCCTATCCCCAGAAGTGGTGGTGGCTCACTCCTTCACTTACTCAGGTCTCTTCTCCCAGGTACCTTCATTGCCCTCCAGTCATTCTGTGTCCCAACCTGGCTCCCTCATCTTAACTGCTTTTGACATTTATCTGCAGACTTATCAGTGCTTGTCAACAGTTTGTATCTGTGTCCTCAACTGGGTCCTTGTTAACTTGTTAGTGGTACATACAACAATGCCGACACATAGCAAGTCATTTGCCCCCATGACTTTCCATGAAGTACATATCAGCCCCCTCCCCACATGCTAGCTCCAGGCCTCTGACAGACTCTGGCTTCTGAGGACGGCCCCAGAGTGACACTACTAAGGTTGTGTCCAGTTCATCTTTGGCTAGTTCCATGCCTTGGCTACATTACTCAGTTCCTCAGATGTAAAGTGAGCATCATAGGAGAACCCCCACCCTACCCCCAGGGAGTATCATGTGCTCAGGAGGTGACCCAGGACCTACTGCTTGTTGCTTGTGGGGTGGACACCTGTTCCTTTGAACTGTCTTGATCAAGATGTACTTATTCCTTCCCTGCTGTGTGCAAACACCCGCAGACTGTGTTTGCTTCCGTTTAGTACAGTCTCTGAAGTGTTACTGCACTTCCCTGGTGACCTTTTTTTTTGTTTTGTTAGTGTCAAACAAGTTGTAAGACTGCCCTTGACCTCCACATGACCGTCTCAGTAAGCTCCAGGCTGTGTGTGACTCCCACATGGACATTGCTGATCTGTGCCAGCTGGGGTTAAACCCGTACTCCCTGCACTGTGCTGTAGCTCCCCTCTCCAGCCACATGCCAAGTGTTTTTCATGGTCCCTGACTATCATTCAGCTCATCATTATTTTGAGGTTTTATCTTGTCATTTAACAAATGGCCCTTGCTTATAAGAGTGCAGTTTTGCTTCCTTGAGCACCTTGTGTTCATTCTGCATTAATTCCCTGTCTTTGGCACATCAGTCTCCCTAATCTCAGCATGTCATCACATCTCACTTAAATGGCCCTTCCCTGAGAGGTTTGCCCTGACCACACAGCTTGGGAGCCACGTACACCCGTCTCCTTCCTTCCCTGTGCTCAGGTCTGCATGCCACTTCCAGCTCTTTCTTCTCCCGCTGTCTCTCCTCTACACCTCGTCTGCTGTAGGGAGGCAGAGGCCTCTCCAGGCTGATTTGCCCACTGCTATCTCCCAGAGCCCCACATGCCATCTTGCACGTGGGTGCATGTACCAGATACTTGTTGAATGGTTAAGGAGTGTGGCTGACCATACAGTAGCCAGTCAGGCCCAGCACATTACAGAAGTGATCACTAAGCAAATGAAGTGATGCTGAAGAGAGTTTGGCTTATCATAGTGGGTTAGGGTAGATTTTTTTCTGTGTAAAAATATGTATTTTTTTAATTGCATGGATCTGTGAAATAAAGAGACAAGAAATTGCTGAATAAATGTTAACTGATGCTCTTCTACTTCTGTTTTCCCAGACACCATTTGCTTCTGACTCAAGATGATTTGATGTCTTAAATAGAACTCTCACCAACCATGATGGCTACACAGACGTTAAGTATAGACAGCTATCAAGATGGGCAGCAAGTGAGAGCTTGAGCTTTATTCTGCATCCTAATTACTGCCAGTTGACCTGGCACTAAAACATGGACAGTGCTTTGTGTGCTTATCATCCAATTTCTGTGAGGTTGCATGTTAATTTTAAATATACTATGCATTTATTGTGTTGGTATTCAGAAAGATAAGCTACAGAATTTTTCACATTATTTCCCTAAGTGATAACAACTCTGTCTAAATCACGAGTTTCTTGCGAATTTGACATTTGTAAGGTCAGTGTTAATTGCTACTGTGGCTTTTAAAGAAAAGCTGGGCTGGGTGCCTGTGGCTCTCGCCTGTAATCCTAGCTACTCAGGAGGCACAGATCAGGAGGATCTCAGTTTGAAGCCAGCCTGGGCAAATAGTTTGTGAGACCATATCTTGAAAATACCCAACATAAAAAAGGGCTGTTAGAGTGGCTCAAGTGGGAGAGTGCCTGCCTAGCAAGCATGAAGCCCTGAGTTCAAACCCTAGAACTGCCAAAAAAAATAGAATAGCTAGGCACTTTGCCTAGCATGTATGAGGCCCTGAGTTTTTTGTTGTGTTATGTTGTTTTTGTGGAGGTGGAATTGAATCCAGGGCCTCACGCATTCTAGGTAAATACTCTGCCACTGAGCTACACCCTCAGTGCTACATGAGGTTTTTTTTTTTTTTGCTTATTTGTGTTACTGTTTTTCTTTTGGTTGTTTGAGCTGGGGCCTTGCTATGTAGCCCAGGCTAGCTTCGAGCTGGTGACCCTCCTTTGTCTGCCTCCTGAGGCATATGCACTGCCATGCTTGGCTCTGGGTGCTTTCCATCACAGAGTCCCATGTTGATGATCTCTACTCCCAGCATGCTTGCTAGGCAGACACTCTACCGCTAGAGTCACTCTGCCAGCCTCTGTGTGTCAGGCTTGATCACCTCTCTAATGGGAACCCTGTGGTTTCATCTCCCCAGTTGCAAGCATGGGAGAACCCTGCCCCAGGACTCCTGCTAGCAGTTTCAGAGTAGACCTTTGTACCTTGAGCATGTTGGACAGCTGTGTCATGGCATGGGGGGCTCCTGGACTGTCCTCCCACTCTAAGCAAGGCTGTTCCCCGTGGAGCTGCAGTGTGCTATGTAAGTGCATCTGGCTGTTGTGAGTTCTGTGACCTGCAGCAGTTAAGGAGCCGAGGCACTGGCCACTGTGTTCTGAGTCTGCTGGGGTTTGGTTCCATCTCCATCGAAGAGGTCCGAGCCTACTGTTTGCATGTTTGTTCAGCAGGGTTTATGGCACAAGCTGGAGGGGCAATGGATGCCCCTCACACTCTTCTCTTCCCTCCTGAGGATTTGAGTGAGACCCAGAGGCTTGCACAGTGGGCACTGGGAGCTGAGGCAAGCTTGGTCCCTTCCCTTGTTGACCAGTTTTGCACCATTCCTTGTTTGGTTCATGTTGCAAAGGCTTTGTGTGGCATGTTTTTCTGCTTATAGACACTCAGGGAAGGAAATCCTGGTGTGTGGTTTCAGCTTGTCTTTTTAAGCTGGAAGTCCTTGGTATTTCCTGATTGTTTTTATTTTTTGGGGGGGAATGCAAATCTAATAATATGCCCCTCCCTGAGCACTACTGTGGCTCCTCATGGATGTCAGACAATGTCCCACATGGTCCCACATGGTCTGGCCCTTGTGGGGCCCCAGGCTACTGCAGCCTCTTGTGCTGCTCACCAATGTCTGGCACACTTTGGCACCTCTCTACCTGCTGTGGAGCTCTCCTTGCCCTTCCCTCCTGTCCTTTAGGTCTTGGGTCAGACTAGCCATGTATGTCCTTATGTTAGAAGGCGGGGTAGGGGAAGGTGGCCCAAATAATGTATACATATGTAAGTAAATGCAAAAACAATTTACAAAAAAAAAAAAAAGGAAGAAGAAGCAGTTGTGGTGATGGCCTCCTGATGTGGCCTGGGCCCCATGCTTGCCTCCTACACTGATGCCTTGGTGCTGTTTCAGCGGCTGAGCACCTCTCCAGGATCTGGAGGGCATGTTGTGAGTGTTATTTTAAATAAGCATTTCAGCCTCCAGCGTAGACATATCACACCATTCCTATGAGGTCAAACACTTAAGTTCTTTTTTCACAGTCATTAAAAAGAAAACCCTGAAATGTCTTTCAGTGCATATCACATCACTGTCCAGAGTGTTTGATTATGGCTTTAGTTACTTTCATTTTTAAGAAAAAGAGAAATAATTTCCCAAGTATGTTGTACCATCTAAACCAGCAGAATGGGTGTTTTCGAGCTCCTTCTGAACTGTTGGAGAGAATAGAGCCGAGGGCCAGGGTGGGCGGGCATGCTTGGCTGACTCGTTGGCAGCATCCATGGAACTGTGTCCTGGCATTGTAAGGTTTGGCAAGCTGACTATTGGCTCATGGACAATTACAGGTTTATAGCTTTGAATTTCTTTTTAATAAACTGAATTTTTTTGGTGGAACTAGGATTTGAACTCAAGACTTCACACTTGCTAGGCAAGCACTCTACCATTTTAGCCATGCCTCTAGTCCTTTTCACTCTGGTTACTTTGGAGATAGGGTCATGCTTTTTGCCCAGGCCAGACTGTACTACAGTCCTCCCATTTTACACTTCCACCATAGCTCAGATGGCAGGCGCATCCCACCATGCCCAGGTTTTTTTTCTATTGAGATAGGGTCTCATGAACTCTTCTTGCCCAGACTGGCCTGGAACCGTTATACAATCATGTAGCTCGGGGTGACAGGTGCAGGTCACCTTGCCCAGCTGTTGTTTGAGACGGGGTCTCATGAACCGGCCTTGAACCTCAATCCTCCTGATCTCTGCCTCCAAGTAGCTGGGATTACAGGTGTGAGCCACTGTGCCTGGCTGTAAACTGAATTCTTAAAAGTACCTAAATATATCTTACCTAAGTGACAGATACTTAGCTTATTTAAAGCAATTTAAGTGCTATTTCTTTAAGGCTTTAGTAAACACAGGTGGTCTTTACTTTCTGAATATAGCGATCTTTGTTAAAAACTGTATGTGTATGTGTGTATATGCTGGAGCTCAATCTCAGGCCTTGTGCATGCTAAGCATGTGTTCTTCCACTCGGCTACACACCTAGCCCATGTTAAAAATTTTATAGCCCATATATTCCTAAGGGATAGGATGGATGTGGGAGAATTTCAACCCTGTCACAAATATGTGGCATGTTAAGTGCAAATTGTTTTTGTAAGAAGACAAGAGAGCTTAGACTTTTTTGTTTACCTCTCTCTTACTACATTATTAACTGAGGATGTGTGACAAGAAGAGGTAAAGAGTAAGATTTCGTGTATACAGTTCCCTTCAGTGATAGTAGTAATTATTTAAAATCATAAGTTTAACCCAAGTCCCACAAAAATACAAAATCAAATCATAAGCTTTTCACAGATACTGATTATCTCTGCTGTTAACACAGTTTGGAAATTAGGCCTTTATCTTCTGTACTTTTAAAGCACATTAAATTCAAAGGAGCTTGGTTGATAGGATCCTTTGTTTTGTTCTCAGTTATATAACTGGCAATTTGCCATTCTGATTGCATTACTGTTTGCAAGTAGAATACTTAGCAGAGGTTTATTTTGTGTTTGGTAACAAAAATTCTCCTCTTCCTTTACAGATGCAGGTGGTCACAGAGTTAAAAACGGAACAGGATCCAAACTGCTCCGAGCCGGATGCGGAAGGATGAGCCCTCCTCCCGTGGAGTCTCAAACCCCCATGGATGCAGACAAGCAGGCCATTTATAGGTAGCGCCTGGGTGTGAAGCATGTGGGTTTTCAGAGGACCACTGAGGACACCAGTGTTAAGTGGAACACCACGTTAGGCAGAGTAAGGAGGGACTGGTGTATGCAGTAACTGAAAATTGTCTCAGATTAAAAAGAGAAAGTTTATAATATTTTAGAACATATGTCTACATTTTGGGTAATCTTGCACTCCTGGCAGTGCACACCTGTAATCCCAACACTCAGGAGGCTGATACAGGAAGCTCATGCATTTGAGGCAATTTCCAACCAACATGAGTTACAGAGCAAGACTCTGTCTTGAGGGGGATAAGAAGAAGAAAAGGAAAAGAAAAAAGGAAACTTCAGACCCAGATGGTTTTTGTTTGTTTTTGCGGTGCTGGAGATGGAACCCAGGGCCTTGTGTATGATGGTCAGTGCTCCACAACTGAGCTTTACCGCCAGCCTACACCAGATGGTTTTGTGGAGGATCTCCGAAACATGAAGAAGAAAAGAACACCACCTCTTCCAAAAACCGAAGAGGGAGGAATGCTTCCTACCTAGTCTCCTGGTAATGCCAAACCTGATAAAGACAGTACAAGCAAGAGAGGTACAGGCCAGTATCCCTCATGAACTTAGATTAATAACAGTCTGTTGATCATTGTTAATAATCAATACTCACAAAGCAAATCCATCCATATTTTAAAAGAGTAATGCACAGTGATCAGGTGGGGCTTATCTTGGAATGTAAGACTGGCTCAGTATGCAAAAAATGAACCAGTGAGGTCCACAAGGTGCTCATGTCCATTGTTGTAGAAAAGCACTGGACACAATCCAACACTCAATTAAGTTAAAAACTGTAAGCAGAAGGTAATAGTGGGGAACTTTCTTAACTGATGAAGGACATCCACAAAAAGACGTATAGCTCACATTGTATTTAATAGTGAAAGTTTCCTTGTAAGCTAGGAATAAAAGCAAGATATCCATTCTCACTACTCCTTGGCAGCAATTCTAGTCAGTGTTATATGACAAAAACAAATAAAAGGATACAAGATCAGAGGTACATTACAGAAAGAAAAAAGCTGTATGGATACAGGGCAACACACAAATACCATTCCTATATCTATATGAGTAATGCACAATGAAACTCAAACTTGTAAATAGAAACTCATTTACAACAGCTCCAGGGAAATTTTGATGTGAAACCTTTATGCTGAAACTTAAAATGTCCATGCAGATGACTAAAAACCGAGTAAGTAGGGCCGTTTCTGCCCATGGGTTGGAAGCCTCATGTGAAGGTGCCCGTCTTCTGAATCCAATCCCAGTCCAGGTCTTAGCAGGACAGTTGTGTACATAGAGACAAGGTAATTCTAAATTTTAGACAGAAGACAAAACTGGAATAGCTAAAACAATTTTGCAAAAGAAGAACAAATTTGGAGGAATCCACCAACATGATTTTAACCACTTAGTCTAAAGTTACAGTGACTGAGATACCCTTGGTTTTGGTAAAATATATAGGCACAGATCAGTGACATGGAGTCCAGAAATAGATGTATATAAAAATGATTCTACCTGTCTATTTGAGACAGGGTCTCCCTAGATAGCCTAGGCTGACCTCGAACTCAAAATCCCCCCTCTGCCTCCTAAGTGCTGGATTTACAGGTGTGTACCACCACGCCCAGCTTGCATTTAATCTTTGATGTAGGTGTAAAAACAATTTAGTTCACTTTTCAAAAATGGTGTTGCAACAATTACACATCTATGTGCAGAAAACCCCCTAATCTAGCTTCACATCTTATATAAAAATATATTCAAAATGGTTATTGGTGGAATGTAAAATTTAAAGCTGTAACACTTGTGGAAAGGAGCGTGGGAGAGTCTTTGAGACCCGACTAAGTTAGGAAAAAGGTTCTTAGAATACTAAAATCAAAGTTGATAAATTGGACCTAATCAAGATTCAGAGTCTCTGCTCTGTCAAAGATGCTGTTAAGAGAATGAAAAGCCGGGCGCTAGTGATTCACACCTGTAATCCTAGCTACTGGGGAGACTGAGATCAGGAAGATCACAGTTTCAGGCCAGCCTGAACAAAAACATTTGCAAGACCCTATCTCAATGGAAGAAAACCGGGCACAGTGATAAGTGCGTGTCATCCCAGCAATGACAGGAAGCTTAAAATAGGAAGATCCTGGTTCAGGTTGGCCTGGACAAAAAGGAAGACCCTATTTCCAGAATAACCAGAGCAAAAAAGGCTGGCTGTATGGCAAAGCAGTAGAGTGCCTGCATTGCAAGCATGAAGCCCTGAGTTCAAACCCCAGTACTGTTAAAAGCAAGGAGGAGAAGGGGTAGGGAATGAAAAGACAAATACTTACAAATCACACGTTCAGCCCAGGAATTCCATCTGGAATAGAGAACTTTCAAAACTGAACATCAGGAAAGCAAAGAGCTCAGTGAAAATCCTGGCAAAAGACTTGGACAGCTTACTACCCAGAATACACAGACGGCAGAAAGCACTCGGTGTCATTAGTCACCAAGGAAGTGCAAGTTAAAGCCTCGATGAAGTGCTACTGCACACTTGCCAAAATGACTGAGGTAGAGCTGGTGGAGTGGCTCGACCAGTAAGAGTGCCTGTCTAATGAGCGTGAGGCCCTGTGTTCAAACCCCAGCACCGCTAAAACAAAATGACTGAGGTAAAAAGGGGTGACAGTGCTAACACTGACAAATGGTGCCGAGCAGCTGGACTCTGCTCCCTTGCTGGTGGGAGTGCAAGTGGCCTGTCTTGGTTTCTTATAAACATACACCTCTGTGACCCCTCAGTGCCCAATACTCCTGGGTATTTACCTAGGGTAATGAAACATTCACACAGTTCATCATAAAATATGTAACATACAGCTTACCATCTTAATGGCTTCTAAGGTGTGCCGTGATACTAAGTTCACTCACGTTGTGTGCATTCCTCTTCACTGTTTCTCCAGAACCTTTCATCATCCCAAACCCAAACTGTACCCATTAAGCACTAACTCCCAACCCCTTCTCCCAGCTCCTAGCAACCATCATTTTTCCAGATAGCTATAAATTCAACTGTTTGAAGTATCTCATATGAGTGAATGTAGCACAGTATTTATCTTTTAGTGACTGGCTTATTCTTTAGTGTATTGTCTTCTTTCACATAGTATGTTTTCAAAGTTCATCTATGTTATAGAATGTTCCAGAATTTTCTTCCTTTTTAAGACTGAGTGGTATTCCATTGTATGTGTATACCACATTTTGTTTATCTCTGTCAACGAATACTTGGGTTGGTTCCACTTTTTGATTGTTGTTAATCCTGCTGCAAATGTGGGCTGTATAAATACCTTTCAAGTACACGCTATTTACAGAGCTTTATTTACAGTTGTCTCGACCTGTAAACAACCTAAGTGCTTCTCAGCTGGGGGATGTTGAGGTAAGCGGTGGTATTTCTGTACAATGGAATGTCTCTAGGCAGTTAAAAGGGATGAATATGGATTCATGCAAGAACTGGAATGAATTCCAGCAGCGTTAAGCTGCTCAAAGGTAGCTGCTCTCAGAAGGGGCGTTGTCAGGGCTGGTGGAGTGGCTCAGGTGTTGAGAGTACCAGCCTAGCAAGCGTGAGGCCCTGAGTTCAAACCCCAGTGCTGCCAAAACAACAGAAGGCTGCATTGTGTGGCTTCACTGCACGGCATTCTTGAAGACCTGGACTTTGGTGGTGGTGACCAGGTCAGTGGTTGCCAGGGCTAGGGATTGGGGCAGGATACCAAGGGAGAATACAAGGAGGCTTTGGGGTTCTGGAGCGGCTGTATATTCTGATTGTGGCAGTGTTTAACACACCAACACATGTGTAAATGCATGGGTCTGTATACCAAGAACAATCCCTTTTACTGTTGGATAATTTTACAAATAAAAAACTTTAAATGCAGTGGTTGGGGTTTTTTAAAAAATTTGTTTCACATACCTTAGAGCTAACCCAATTAAAACAGTTCCACTCAACAAAAAATAGGAAAAAGAAAAAATGGGGAAAAACCAGGTCCATTCAGATTAGCTACAAAATTATAAAATAACCAGGAATAAACCTAACCAAGTATGCAAGAGCTACATAGAAAAAACCGTTACAATTTTAATGAAAAAGTACAAACACACACCTGATTCAGTGGAGGGCTGTTTGTGTCCCTGCATAAGTGGTCTCTGCCTCCTGTACCAATTTACAAACTAAAAGCAATTCAGTCAGAGTCCAGTAGGATCCCCCTCCCCCAAAAAAACTGATTTAAAGTTCATCTGACAAAGGAATATGCAAAAATGCCTAATCTTAAGAAATACCTAAATCTTATAAGTAAAGTCATACTAAGAAATTGTTAAAAATCTACTCAGCTTGAAGGAAGGGGTAGGTCAAGGATGCTCTCACCCCTTCAGCATTGCTGGCTCTACCCTTCCTCATGGAGATGGAAACAGTTTGTTAGTCCCACTCCTTGGATTAGCAGCTACTGGTACAGGAGTCCTGGAGTGGTTGGTGGGGCAGAATGCAGGGCTTACAGAGCTCTGTGTGTGTGGATAGCGTGAATGACAAGGGAGGGCTTTCAGATCATTAGGCAGATGACTAATTGCTAAATTAGTAGAGGAACTATTGGCTAGTTGGAAAAAAACTTAACTTTGTTGACGATCCAAATGATTATAAGATTAAAAGGAGGAAAGAAAAAGGCCAAACATGAGAAAGCATTGGACAGTGGGATATGTTGTCTGGCCAAAATAAAAACGATGAGTAATAGTGATAGCCAGCTGTAGGGGAGATGATAACACTGTTAGTGGTGACTGAAGATGCTCCTTTTTGGAAGGCACTTTGGCCCTCAGATAACTTTTCTTTTTTTGATTGATTACTTTCTCTTTTTTGTTTTGAAACTAGTTTGGGAAAAAAAGATAACAAACACATGACATGAAACTTACAATTTTGAGCAGGGGGAGATGCTGGAACCAGGACCACATATGCTAAGTATTTGGTCTACAACTGAACTACACCCTGGCTCCTACAGTTTACCATCTTAACAGTTTTTAAAGTGTAGTAAAATATATTTGCTTGTTGTGAAACTTCTCCAGAATTTTTTCGTCTTGCAAATATGAAGCACTATACCCATTACAACAAATCACTTTTTCCTCGTTTGCCTTCGACCCTGGTAAACCCTCATTCTTTTTGTTTTTATGGATTTGCCTCTTTAGATGTCTTGCATAAATGGAATCATATGATAGTTGGCTTTTTGTGACAAATGATTTCACAGCATAAATCTAGGTTTATCAACAGGTTTATCCCTGCTTAAAGTGTGACCCTAATAATTTTTGCATGGTACATACAATTCCTTTATAGACAGCACTCTTAGAAAATGATCACTCTCCTAAACAAATTAATAGGCAAATGGTGACACTGTTGGGGTTTCATACTGTGGGCTACCATGCTGCACTTAAAGAGTGACAAGGTTACCAGGCACTGACATAAACAGTCTCTTGAGCAGTACTGGCTGCATAATTTGTGGGGATCAATGCAAAAACAAAACATGAGACCCCTTGTTCTAAACATAAGAGTTTTAAATGAGCCCTAGCAGAGCAACAAACAGCATGGAGCCCTGGGCAACGGCCCAAGCTGTACATCCATTCAGTCAGTCCTGTTTGTGTGATAGATTTGAAAAACAAACCAAGTTTCAGAACTATGTGAGTATACAGTAAATATCCTCTGGAGAAAGGTACACACTAAAACTTAAACATTGGTCACCTTTGTGGAGGGGGTGGGGATGAGGTCTGGATAGGGTGGTATCCTAGAGAGTTTGCTTGATCCATGTGGTCTGAACTTTTCTTGGAGGTTTAAGTTTACTTACTGTGTAATTAAAAATAAATACCAGAAAGCTGTAAGCCAAGGCAGGTTCCAGGCCAGTCTTGGCTACATAGCAGAACCCTGTCTGAAGACACAAACCCCCAAACCCACAAGGACAGAAATACACCACCATTCTCCCATTAGGATGCCTATAATTAAAAAGAAAAGCAACAGGTGTGGTGAGAATGTGGCGAATTAGAATCCTTGTACACTGTAGGGGGGGTGTAAAGTGGTGGAGCCACTTTGGGAAACTGGCAGTTTCTCACAAAGTTAAGCATAAGAGTTATACTCGACCAGAAATTCCACTCCTGTGCCTACACCCAAGAGAAAGGGCAGCATGTCTCCTCTAAACACCGGTACGTGCGTGTTCATAGCTGTACTATCCACAGTAGCCAAGAGGGAGCAGTGACCCAGATGTCCAGCTGATGAGTAGAAAAAGGAAACGTGGACCCTCCTTACAGTGGGAACAGAGAAATGCGCGTTACAACACGCTGATGAGTCTTGAAACCGTCCAAGTAACAGAAGCCAAACACCAAAGGCTGCATGTGATTCTCTTTATAGGAAATACCTAGAGTAGGCCTCAAACAAAATAAGATACGGATTCATGGTGTGCTGGGGCTTGGGGGATAATGAAGAGCAACTGCTATTGGATACAGGGTTTCTTTTGGGGACAATGACAGTGTTCTTATATTGACTGATGATGGTTGCACAATTCTAAAATACAGTAAAAATCACTGACTTGTGCACTTTAAATGGTGAGTTGTGTGACACATGAATTAATGCTCGACAAAGCTGCTGAATAAAATAATTCATGTGGGCTGGATGTGCTAGTGTACTTCTATAATCCCAGCACTTGGAAGCTGAGGCAGGAGGATCATGAGTTTGAGGTTTTCCTGGACTACATAGTGAGACCCTGTCTCAACAAAACAAAACAAACAAAAAGGTGGGTGTCAGTGGCTCAAACCTGTAATCCTAGCTACCTGGGAGGGCAAGAGCCGGAGGATTGTGATTTCAAAGCCAGCCTAGGGAAAAAGTTCTTGAGATTCTATCTCCAAAATAACCAGAGCGAAATGGACTGGAGATGTGGCTCAAGTGGTAGAGCCTGATTGCTTTGCAAGTGAAGCCCAGAGTTCAAACCCCAGTCCCACCCCACCCTACCCCCCAAAAAAATCATGCATGCACACATGCCAACATTTTCTTGGGGAGGCATAGAGCACACTTGTTCTTTGTTCTTTTCTTCCTCAGGCATCCACTATTTCCATTACTAGCTTTGTTGTTTGAAAAATGTGAACAGTCCACACAAGGCTCAGAAGGCACGACTTCTGCTAGTTTTGATGTGGACATTGAGAACTTCGTCAGGAAACAGGAGAAGGAAGGGAAACCTTTCTTTTGTGAAGACCCAGAAACTGACAACTTAGTAAGTAAAGTCAATGCTTTATTTTTATTTTTCAAAATCTCAAGTCCATTCATGAAATTTTGAACTTCTAATTAGAACTTCAGACTACTTGTAGTTCTGCTAGAGGAAAATTATATACTTATAAAATAATTTATTTCACAATGCATGTAACTTCAATGTCTCCAAGTCTTCAGTCTCTGGTTACCTTTTCCTTTAACAAGCAAACAAAACTGTGCTTCCATCCTAATTATCCTGAGGGGTTCAGTTCTCTCCAGGATGTATATAAAGGTTCCCTGGGGCTGGGGTCCTCTTGCAGCACTCTGTACCCACCTTCTATTCTTGGTGGTTGTTGATCTGGACTCCAGGACCACTCTTTCTTGATGCTGATGCTAACTTGGGGTACCTTCATCCCAAGTCAAGGATTCCAAATCCAGGCTTCTCTGCACTCTACCAAGGGGTTAGCATCACTGATGAACTCAAAGCAAGCCATGACTTTTGGCATGTGGACAGTGACAAGCCTTTGCTGGGGTGCCCATTCTATTCATCTGCCCTCATGCCTGAACCCACCCAGTGTTTGCCTCCCTCCCAGATTCAGATGGACTCGGAGACCTAGCATTAGTGTGCCTTCACTGGATTTCCTGAGTGCCTTCTAGGACCCATGTCAAAACCTTTATCAGGCTTTAGCAGAAAAGGGTCTTTGGAAAACTTTTTTCCTGAACATATTGCCTGGGTCTTAGCTTTTTTGTTTTTAATTTCTCATTGCCTGCTTAATCTTTAACATCTAATAGTTTGTATAGGCAGATTATCTGACTGAGTCTGTCTGCTTGTCTCTGAAACGTGTGCCCCTTCAGGGTGAGGGTTAGAAGTCCTCTCTGCCCCTGAGACTCTGCCATGAGTCTGTGCCTCCATTGGCCCACACCTGGCCTGGCTCAGTGAATGGGAGCAGGTGTCTGCTCCACCCTGCCACTGTACAGGTTCTCCTGCCTAGTATTTGGAAAGGACCTGGCAGAGCTTAATGCTCAAGTAATTCTTGTTACCAACTGATTGATTCTCTGATTCCATGTAGAGTAAGAAGTACTTCATATGTAAGCTTAGAGGCAGAGGGCTGAGCTTTGGAGCTGTTGATCTGTAGGCAAGTGGCCCTAACGATAATGGTGTCATTGTTGGTATCAGTGCTCTACTGCTGTGGGAAAATTATTTCAAACTTAATGACCTCAAAAGTATGAAACTTTTTAAAAAAATCATAAAATCTTTGGGATCTAGGACTTAGCAGAGAGTGCTTAGACTTGACACCAGAGATAGGACCAGAAGAAGCAGAGTTGATAACTGAACTTCAGTTATTGGGTAGATATGAATTTGTCCCTACTTGTGGTTGTATAGATGGAGTAGAATGGGGTAAGAGACTTGCTGAGCCACAGAGCAAGCTAGTGGCCAGCAAGCCAGTGGTGGGACTGAACTGCGGCCCAGTTGTGTGCAGGCACAGGGCCACACTCCCACCATGGCTGTGCTGAGGGTGGCACTAGTCTCCAGTGTTCCTGCACACCTGATGCAGCCAAGGTCAAGTCAGTGGCATTGGAACATTTTGCCTGTCTGCATGAAATCTGATGTTATTCCTCTTCTGTTGTTAATAACTAAGAACCAGTATGTTCAGTAATGACAACTTTCTATACTACTGCCTTTTTTTCATTTTAAAGTTCCTTTTCTCTGCTTCTAGATGGTGAAAGCAATCCAGGTCTTACGTATTCATCTTCTTGAGCTGGAAAAGGTTAATGAACTCTGCAAAGACTTCTGCAGTCGGTATATTGCTTGTCTGAAGACGAAAATGAACAGTGAGACCCTGCTGAGTGGGGAGCCTGGAAGCCCCTACTCTCCTGTGCAGTCCCAGGTACCTATGTTTGGAGCCTGCCTTTCTTCACTCACTACAACCAGTTGGGCTGGTCTTGATGACTGTCCTGTTTAAAGGATGACTGGGCTTCCTGAACCTGGCATGGCTTAGGAATGAACTCAGGCCAGAGAAACTGTCTTTCCTGGGCTTTAGGCAGGGTAGGAGTCAGTACGCAATCTGCATTCTGGGCCCTGCCAGCCCTGGCCATGTTTATGGGGAGTAAAATGCCATTTGTTCCTTTATTTCTTGACAAAAACAACAAAAAAAAATTTTCAATTTTTGAAAATATATGTTACCTAGAATTTACCGTCATAACCGTTTCTCCTCATAACTACTTTTAAGCATACAGTTCAATGGTGTTACATTCACTGACATTGTACAACCATCACTCTATCTGTCTCCAGAACTTTCTCATCTTCCAAATGGAAGCTCTGTCCCCATTAACACGAAGTCCCCAAACTCCCCCACAGCTCTGCTGTCCATCCTGCTTTTGGTGTATGAATTGGGCTACTCTCGGTCCCTCATCTTACACCTGTGCTCGCTCACCTCACTTCTTATCATGCCATCTCTGTCTGTCCATGACTGTTGTATTTTAGCCATTCTCATGATGTGTGTGATTCCTCCTTGTGGTTTTACCACTTACACTTTCCTACGACTAACATGGTGACATTTCCATCTGTGTATCGTTTTCAGTAGAAGAAATGTCTGCTCAACTCTTTTGCCCATTTTCTAATTTTCTTTCTTTCTTTTTTTTTTTTTTTTTGGCAGCACTGGGTTTTGAACTCAGGGCCTCATGCTTGCTAAGCAGGCACCCTACCACTTGAGCCATTGCACCAGGACCTTGGTTTTTTTTAAACTGCTGAGTTTTGAAAAGTTCCTTGCCTACTCTAGATCCTGGACATTTGTTGAATATGTTTTCCCCAAGTCTGGAGCTCAGTATCTTCTCAACCTCTTATAGGTCTTTTGCAGAGCACACATTTCTAATTTTGGTTAAGTCTAATTTATCAACTCTGCCTTTTCTGAATTGTGCTTTTACTGTCATGTCTAAGGACTGTTGGCCTAGCCCTAGATCCCAAAGATTTTGTCTTGTGTTGTTTTTTTTTTTTTAATCCCAAAAGTTTTATAGATTTTCATTTTGCTTTTAAATCCATGGTCCATTTTGAGTTAGCTTTTGTGGAAAGTGCTAGTTTTAAGTTGAGGTTCCTTTTTTGCCTATGGATGTCCATCTGCTCCAGAACCTTTTATTGAAAACCCATCCTTCTGCCATTGAGTTGCTTGTTTGCACCTTTGTCAGAACTCACTGGAGCCTGTTGGTAGGGACTCCCTGCACTTTCTGTTCTGTTGCATTGGCCTGCATGTCTGCACCAGGTCATCTTCATTGCTGTAGCTCTATGGTAAGTCTCAAGATTGGGGAGATGGTTTCTTCCTTCTTTGTTATTTCTTTTCAAAATTGCTTTAGCTATTCTAGTTCCTTTGCCTTTCTATATAAATTTTAGAATAATCTTGTCCAGGTACACAGAAAAAAGTCTTACTGGGATTTTGATAGGAATTACATTAAACCTGTATATCAATTTGGGAGCATTGAATCTTCCAATCCATAAATGTACTAAATCCCTATACTTACTGACATCTTTTTTCTTTTCTTTTTTTTTTTTTTGTGGTGGTTATTTTTTACATCTATGATTTCTTCATCGGTATTTGGTAGTTTTCAACATAAGGGTCTATGAGCTTTTAGAGTCATACCTAAGTATTTTTTAGAGTGACTGTAAATTAATTGTATTTTAATTTTTGTGCCTGTGTGTTCCTTGCTGGTCTATAGAAAAACAATGGATTTTTTAAAAGACATATACATTTATTTAATATGTTTTGTGTGACATTGAAGCATTTATAAGGAGTTAAAAACATGAAGAAATGGTAAACTTCTGTATTTTTTACTACTGTGTATTAATTAATAAAATAATGGGTTTCATGATGACATCTCCATTACATGCATGTTACGGACTTCTGATCATGCTCACCCTCTGTATCCTCCCTTCTGCATCCCTAATACTCCCCTTTTTAATAGATGGTTTTTGTGTGATCTTGTATGCCATGACCTCGATGAATTCATTGTTTAGTTCTCAGGTTTTTTTAAATTACTTAGGACTTTCTCCTGTTTGGTCACGTTATATACAAATAGGGACAATTCTGTTTGCCTCCTTTCTGATCTGTCTGCCTTTTGTTTCCTTTCCTGCCTCATTGAATTGGCTGGAATGTCCAGTGGTGCTAATCTTGAAAGTGTGGCGAGCAGGCTTCTTAGACTAGGTTCCCAGTCCTTAGGAGCCTTTCGGCCTTCCACCTTCATTATGCTGACACTCTGCTGCATTCTAGGTTCTCTTATCAGGTGGAGGATGCTCCCTCTGCTGTTTTCTCAGTTTCCTCTGTGTCCAGGATTGCCAGATGCTTTCCTGCATCAGCTGATATGAGCATGTGATTTTCTTCCTCGGTCTGTTAATATGCAAGAGTACATGGATTGATTTTTCAAATGTTAAACAGGCCTTGCATTCCTGGAATAAACTCCACTTGCTCATGGCACATAATTATTTTATATGTATTCCTGAATTGTGTTTTGCTAGTATTTTGTAAAGCATTTTTTTGTTTTGGTGGTACTGGGATTTGAACTGAGGGCCTCATGCTTATTAGGCAGGTACTCTATCACTTGAACCGCACCCCAGCCCTTGTCAGACATTTTTTGTGTCTTTATTCACAAGAGGTACTGGCATGTAGCTTGAGTTCTCGTGCTGTCTTTGCCTGGCTTTGGTATCAGAATAATCACAGGGTGTTGGGGAGTGTCCCTGCTCCTATACTTTTCTAGAAGAGATTACAGAACAGGTGCTGATTCTTCTTTAGTATTCAGCAGATGGAATTCTATCCCAGTGAAACTGCATGGATCTATGGAGTTGTTTTTTTAGGAGTTTTTGAATTATGAGTTCAATTTCCTTAACAGAATAGGGCTGTCCAGAAGATCTCTTCCATACTGAATGTGCTTTGGGCTGTGGTCCATTCTCCTGAGATGCTGAGCCTAGGGGTGTGGAGCTGAGCATACTTCCTCCTGGCCTCTGGGGTCTGTAGGCATCACCACTTAATCCTAAGATTGGGAATCTGACTTTTCTCTCTGTGTTTCTTTCTTTCTTTTTTTTTGTCAGTCATTTTATTATCTATCTATCTATATCTATCCTATCTGTCTTTTATTTATCTATTCTGGCGGCACTGGGGTTTGAACTCAGGGTCTTGTGCTTGCTAGGCAGGTACTCTTACCACTTGAGCCCCTCCACCAGGTCTTCTTTTTAGTCAGTTTTACTATGTGTTTGTTTTACTCTTTTCAATGAACTAGCATTTTGCTTCATTTATTTTTCTGCTTTTCTATTTTCAGTGTTTTTTTTTTTTTTTTTTTTTGGTGGTCCTGGGGGTTGAACTCAGGGCCTCACACTGCTAGGCAGCATACTTGAGTATGCCACCATCCTATGTTCAGTTTCATTGGTTTCTGCTTTGATCCTCCATCTGCTTGCCTTGGGTTTGTTTTGTTCCTCTTTTTGTGGGATCTTAATGTGATAGCTTGGATTAATGATTTGGATGGTTTGACTCTACTGTCACCAAATTAATGTGTTAGAGTTTAAGCATACCTCCCCATGCTTACGTGTTCAAATCAGTGCCTGTGGATGGCACCCACTGATGCACTGTACCTGCTCAGATGCCATGTTCTGTGGGCCCCATGCCCAGTACTCCTTTATGTCAGCCACCAACCTAGCCAGCCCAGCAAATGGATGAGGCAGCCCAGTTAGAGTGAAATTCAGGTGGACACTTTCCAATGTGCTGTTTACAAATGTTTCCAAGGAGCTCACTTAGGCCAGGCACTCCGCAAATACGAACATTGAGGGTGGCAGGTGTAGGGAGCGCCTATGTGCTCTGTACTGTAGCCAAAGTGGGATCCAGGGGTAATTCTCTAGCCCTGCTTGGGATACCCTTGGGCTAGTTACCCTCCATGCCTGTGATGTCATCTTTTGCATCTGCCTGTCCTGTCCAGGAGGGTATGGTGGAGAACTACTCCATTATCTGAGTCAGATCGAAGGAGAAAGGTGTGACTAGGTAGTAGGATCTTCCCACTTACTTTCTGGGCTTTAAGGCCAGAAATGGAACGTGGAATGTGACAGTGAGAGGAAAGAGTCTTTTGGAAGCTGCATTTCACACTGACATTTCAATGATGGCTATCATATTCAATTCTGGATTGCATCTCTCGGTTGCCTGTATCTGATGCTTACTTTCTGAAAACCTGTCACCACATGCCCTGTGCCTTTTCTTCATTGATAGTATTATGTCACTTCCTTTGAGGTTTTGAACATGGGTTTTCCAGGTCCTAATGATCCCCACAACTGTGCTCTAATGTTCAGCAGGTTCAAAGTGCTATCACAGGCACTCTCAGCCCCCAGGGAATTGTGGTGCCAGCTTCCGCTCTACAGCAGGGAAACGTAACCATGGCGACAGTGGCAGGTATGACCACAGAAAATGGACACTTTTTCCATGAGCTTTCACAGAAAGCAGATTGATTATATTAGAATGAGTGTATAAATATGAGTTTTTAATATTTAAATCTTTTCTGGATTTCACAGTGTCTGATTAATGCAGTTCCTGATGCAGTTCTCTGGAATTCAGAGCTCTCCAGATGCCTTTTCTTGTTAATTCTTTATTTTGTTTTTTAATTCTTTTATTATATTATTGCTGTACTGGGGGTTCACTGTGACATTTAGAAAAGTACTTAAATTCTTCCCTCCATCATTTCTTATTAATTATTAACAAATATATTATGCAAATTATGTTCTCTTACCAAAAGTAGATTGAAAAATAAGGTTTTTTTTTTTTTTTTTTTTTAGTAGAAGTTGAAAATATAGAGCTAAGAACAAATATGAGTAACATACTTTTTCATTGAGCTTTTAGTGGTACCTAGTAAACCCTAAATTGTAACATGAATTGATGATAATCTAGTAAAAATACAGCTTAAATCTTAGTATTACTTGTCTAGCAAAGACCATTGAAGTGGGACAGATTCTGTGTGTTCCCTGGTGTGTGAAGAAAATTGCAAATACCGAACATTATGAAAAAGGAGCGTGGAACAGAGGGAGTAGTAGAAATGTACGCTAAAGACCTCATGTAATAGCTTAAAGGGAAATCTTACGGGAAAAAGAAAACTGTTGATCAAAAACCAAACACCAAAAACGTTTATTATCTGGCACCTTTAGCCAGATCCTTAATATGTGGCAATTGTAGGAAAAAGAAGAAAGCAGAGACAAGGAGAAAGAAGGGACTCGCCAAGTCCCTTGTAGCTGAGCGGCAAATGGGGATGCCAAGTGTGCTGGAAGTTACTTGTTCATTTGTAGTGACAAGAGTCAATTTGAAAAGTATTGTTGATTATTTGAAATGATAATAAGGTTATCAAAGTAGATTTTTTATTCCTTCCATAAGTATATCAGGAAGAATGGTTTTAAATCATTTAAGTCGTAAAGTAGCCTTATTTTCAAATTTTCTTCTCCTTTTTGAGGTGGCACAGTGTACCAGCCTGTCACCGTCGTCACTCCACAAGGCCAGGTGGTCACACAGGCATTGTCACCTGGGACAATTAGGATCCAGAACTCCCAGGTGGGTGTGCTGTCTTCTGAAAGGCTTGTGGTGGGGGCAGGCCATGTGTGTGGGAACAGCAGGCAGGTCTGAGCCACCCCTTCTGCTTGAAGACTGTCTGTCTTCTGGAGCAATCTCTAGTCAATCTGAATGGCAGGGCTTGTTTCTTTTCATTCTTCAGCGCCCTCATTGTTTTTGCACAATCCAGATAAATCTGGAAAGTCACTCATGATGCCCAGCAGCAGCTACTGTCACCCAGCACTAAGACTGGCTTGTGTAGGTGACTTTTTCATGTCCATCCAAGATTTGAGGTCCTGTAGGTACAGGACAGCCAGGCAAGTTTCTCAAAACCATGAGGCCAGCCTGAACTCCCAATGTGAAACTGTCAGTGTAGGCCTCAAGCTCTGGAAACTTTCCTGGCCTCTGCTGTGTCCTTGGTGTGTCTAGGTCATTTCCCTGATGAGAGACTGACAGGAGTTTCCAGCAGCAGCTCCCAACCCCTGCCTTCAAGTTCCTGTCTTCCGAACACAAGAGGTTACTGCACAGCAATAGAAACAGAGCAGAGATGCCTGTGACACACAATGGCTGGGATCATCCTGCCTTTTCCCTGCTCCTTTGTGGTAAAATGAGGAGGTTGGAGCCGCTGAGTTGCAAGACCCCTTTAAATTCTGGAATCGCATACACATTTTTTTACTTTGAGCTAGGTTTAAATCAGAAAGACAAGGTTTAAGTTATAGTTCTTATTTTGAGGTCTTTGATTGACTTTGTTAGCTCTCTCTGACCTGCCTAGACGTTTCTTCATCCTTACTGAGAACTGTGCATGTCCAGCCCTTGGGGATACTAATGTAGTGAATGCAAAAGCAAACATGAGTGTGCCTGAGCAAGTCAGTGGTGCAGGCAGTCTGGGGCTGCCACTTCGGCCTCCCAGGTTTTTTGGGACAACACTAGAGTGAAAGGATATGGGAGCCATTGAGGTGAGTGGGGGGCTTCAGGGACCGTTTGGGCTATGGTGACTGCCCACGCTTTCATAGGGGAAGAGCTAGACCTCCCCAGTGCTGCCCCTTGATTCTCCAACCATTCTTCTTCCCCTGTGGTTTTCCGTTCAAAATATCTGTGACAATAGATCCAGCCCTGGTTGTAGAGTAGTTTCCTAGTGTTGTGTCATGTGCTTTTAGAGGAAAGTGTTTTTAAATTAAATAGCCTTATAAATATAGTAGATGTTCGTTTGTCTTATTGTTTAAGGAGGAAGTTTTTAATTAACTGAATTTTCTTAGAAGCAAAGGTTACTAATTTAAACTGCAAACTACAAAGTTCAGTTCAGTACCTTCTTACCAGGCCTGTGTGGTGGTCCCCCAGCTCCCTCAGCTGGGCTCCAGTGAATGACACTCCCTTCTCACTGTGTCCACAGAGCCCCCTCATCCTGTGTGGATTCTCCTGACCCCTTCATATCTGCCATTGTTCTGGGAAAACAGACAAACACATTAGGCTTTCTAGAATGATAAGTAAGTGTGTTTGCTGAGCATGGTGCACATGCTTATAATCCCAGCACTTGGGAGGCACTTGCAGGAGAATTGCAAGTTTGAGGTCAGCCTAAGTAAATAGCAAGACCCTGTCTCAAAAAAAGGGGAGGAGGGTAGGGCTGGTGGCATGGTTCAAGTGGTAAAGCGCCTGCTTACCAAGCTGAAGGCCCTGAGTTCAAACCCCAATACTGCCAAAAAAAAAAAAAAAAAAAAAGGACTTGACTTAGTATCTTGTGGGGAGGTGTTCATTGGATAAATATGCACAGCTACTTTGGCTGCCATGGCTCTTCTTTTTTGGCCAAAGTTTGAGTTCTTGCTGCAGCTCAAATAATTTAGATGTGTAACTTACAAAGGAAGAATTCTGTGTTTGTGTCAGAAACCATCAGGGTGGTTTTGTCAAGAATATTGGCGATTGTCTGCCACAGATCTCATTCACCCCAGTGACCAGCATTATCCTAGGAGAACTCCAGTGGTGACAATCCTTTGACCCTTGCTTCCACTGGTAAACAGTGTCCACTGTCACACAGGCTTCCTGCCTGGGAACAGCGTGTTACAGACCCAGGGTGCTGATGTCCTTAGCTTGTGTGAGGTGATGGTGGTGCACTCCACTGCTGCCCAAGAGAACGCCAGCCACCATGAGAGACACGCTGCCCTCATCACACGTGGGTGTCTTCACTGAGAATCTTTGAGAAGTGAGGGTGCATGGAGTCCCTCTCCCCACCCCTCACTTTGCCTAGCAGTCTGACTTGTACAACTGTGATTTGTGTGCCAGGTTTTGCCTCTTCATCCTCTCATGGTTACTTTGAATGTGTGTGTCACAGCTCAGCTATCACAGGATGCCATAGGCAGACAGCAGATCCAAGTGGTTCCCCACCCTGTAGTCCATGAAAGTCCCTTCCAAATCTTTTACCCATTTCTTCTGCTATTTTCCTCTGTGTTTCTAAATAAAATTCTGTCTTTTAGCTCATCCCTTAAAATTCCTTGTTTTGCCTTTTGTGATGGAAAGGGCTCCACTCTCCCACATTCCCCTCCCTTGCTCCATCCACCCAATTGCTTGCATCATGGTAGCTCAAGCCAGTATTCCCTGTTAATGTTACCAACACTGACTCCTGCTGGGCAGCCAGCTGTGATTACAGTATTGCTCTGCTTCTTGGTGGTGTTTTTTGTCCCATGTGCAGTTTTTGTTGCATAAGTTATCTGCAGTGGCCTCAGAGCCATTCTCCTGAGGTCACACTGTCAGGCGGAGCACTCTGTTCCCTGGTTCCCTCCAGACCTGGCCCCACCTGCTGCACCATCCCTCTGTTGCCTCCTTCACTGTTTGCACTGGTTCCCCCTCTACCTGACTGGCCTGTCCTGCTCTAGTGGTCCTGTGTAGTGCACCTGTCCGTTCCTGCTGGCTGTTCAAGATCTCTTTTAGGGGTGCTGGTAGAATGGCTCAAGTGGTAAGAGCACCTGCCTTGCAAACATGAGGCTCTGAGCTCAAACCCCAATACCACCAAAAAAAAAAAAAAAAAAGCAACAATAAAAATAAGCAAAACCTCTTTTAGACGTCACCTCTCTTCACTGCAGGAGACACAGGCAAGAGTGGGTGGTGGGTGAGAGGACCTGGGCCACCCTGCCTGTAGACTCTGGCTTCAGGGCTCAAGAGACCGTCTTAGGTCCATCTGCCTTACCAGACCTGGGCCTCTGCAGAGATGTCACTATTATAGAGTGATGGTTCAGAGGGGACTGTGTTCTATAGGAGAAACAAACTGTGCTTCCTTTGCTCTTATACCACACATCATAGAAGACTTTGTGATCTTAGAAGCCTTGGGGCTTCTTCCCACCAGCAAGCACACAGTCAGCCCCTGATCCCCTCATCCCCTCATCCCCTGATCCAATTCAGTTCTGATACTGTCTTCATGGGCAAAGTGTCAGGTCCTGTGGGTTAAGGGTTCTGTCTCCAAGACAGTCTCCACTTGAGATGCCAATCACAAATCCTGGGTTGTGGCCTCTGCTTCTGAAGACTGGCCCCCTCCTTGAATTCAGTTTACTATTGCAGCCAACAGAACTGCTTACTGCAAAGGACATGGCAAAGAATGTAAATAAAAGCACATTGTAAGGTAGGAAGAGAGGTTGTGGAACTCTTAGGCCCTCCTTGGGATCTCCCTGGGTCTGTTTGTAGTTTCTAAGAAGGCTTCATTACATAAGTGTGATTGATTACCTCATCAGCCATTGGTGATGACCTTAATCTTCAGTCCCTCTGCCTCTGGGACTGTTGGGGAGTGCTAACCTTCTAATCCTACCTTGGTCTTTCTGGTGACCAGACCCCATCCAGAAGCCACTGGGAACTGCCATCCAGCAGTCAACTCACAGCATATAGAAGGATGTCACTTACACTTGATGAGTTTAAGGATTTTAGTAGCTGTGTGCCAGGAAGTGGGGAGGAAGACCAAAGATTTATTTGACAATATCACATGTATCCTCAAAGAGTTAGTGTGTACAGGGCTGCAGTGTGCACAGCTTTACAGTAATTAAGCCATTTACCAATGAGATCCTTGGTGTTTTTCTCCATGTGAAGCTACTTGGATGTGTCATGAGCTCCTCTCTAACATTATTTGTTAATTGTATAAAAGCTCCAGTTACAGTTGAACCAAGATCTTAGCATCCTACATCAAGACGATGGCTCGTCCAAGAATAAGAGGGGTGTCCTGCCGAAGCACGCTACCAACGTGATGCGGTCCTGGCTGTTTCAGCACATAGGGGTAAGGGTGCCTGGCTGCACTGAGAGCGGACCGAGGTGCCCTCCTTCTGCTCGTGTGTCATGAGGAAACAAACATGCTCATGTCTAGTAAGCATGGGTCCAGGTGTCAGTGTTCTGCAAATATTCACAGTGGGTTGAGCAGGGTCCCTAGTAAATGGCTACAAAAAACTTAAAATACAGCAAGGACCCCAGTGCAGTGGGTAATTAGAAAAGCGGGCAGAGAAGATGTGGTTGGGTAAAACCTTGGAAAGTAGTAGTGTGTCACGTAGTGGATTTGAAAGGAAGATGAGATAAGGTAGAAGAGGCGTGGAGTTGCGCATACTGAGGAGGGGTCAGCACGAGGCTTGTTTAACTTGAAGTGAGTCTGGCCCAGCAGGGAGCACCACCTTACCTGCCCAGTGTCATGTGAGTGCTGTGTGGCCTCCTTGGGGTGAGCAGGAGCTCCATCTTCTTGTGTGTAGGACATCTTAGGAAGCACAATGAAGGGGACACCCCTGCCCAGCTGATGGGAAGATGCTGGTCTTCTGGGAGGTATGGTTGTGGCCAGCCTGTTGTCCCAGGAGGCATCCTGAGCTATGCCAGTGTCCAGAGTGTCCAGGCTTGGCTCTCGGAAGGGGAATCTTCACACAGTGAGGAGCAGTGGGAAGCTGGGCACACTAGAGTGCATGATGAGGGCACATGCAGTAGGACGTGTTACGCAAATGAGAGGAGGTGAGAAAGGACATATGGCTGTTACAGTGTGTGTGGAGACCCCAGTGCAGTGGTCACAATTCAACATGAAAGTGCCAGGACTGGGTATGGGGTTCCCTCTAATGTTTTATTTTGCTTCATTTCCCCTGACACTATCCTTTAATGTTTTAATAATTGCTCAAACAATAAACCCTGCTCTGAAGGATCAGTTAGAATGACACTTTCTTCATGTATCACTTTTCCTGTTCCTTCTTGTCCTCATTTCTTTGCAACCCTTGGTTTTTCTGAAAACGTTAGGGCAGCATTGATTGCTGTTTGTTTTTCTGGTGTGTGCTTCTACCCCATTCCCACACTCTCCTTCCTTCCTCCCTCCCTTCTTCCCTTACTTCTTCCCTCCCTCCTTCCCTTCCTCCTTGTCTCCCTCCCCCCACCTTTCCTTCCACCTCTCCCTCCACTTCCCTCCCTTCCTTTCTTCGTTCCCTCCCTCCTTCTCTCCCTCTGTCCCTCCACCTCTCCCTCCTCCTCCCTCCCTCCCTTTCTTTCTTCCTTTTTTTTTTTTTTTTGCTGTGCTGGGGATGAAACTCAGATCAGAATGTTGCTCATGTAAGCAAGAGCTCTACCACTGGGTTACATTTTCTGTAACAAGTTCGAGGCTGATCTTGAACTTGTGATCCTCCTGCCTCTGCCTCCTGAGTGCTGGGATCTTAGGCGTGCATCATCACACCCTGCTTCATTTCTATTTTATAAGCTTTTAAAAGGGCATGAATAGTATTTGTTTCCACAGCCTCAAACTCAGGGCTACACAGTCGTCTGTCAGCTCACATTGAACTATCCTGTTGATGGGTTTGTGGAAACAAATGTGACTGCCAAGATAAATTGGATGCTGTTCCACTCCATGGTAATACGCTGTGACTTCCAGATCACACTGAGTGTTTGTTTAAAATCAAATCAAGACAAATACCTGCCTTCTTACTTAGTTGGTGTCATTCACACCTGAGGACCCAGTAGTCCAAACTAAGGGATTTGGAGCATGCAATTTTAGAGTAAATGTCTTCTTGACTTCCACATGTAGACGAACAGTCACTGGTTTGGGGAAATGGTTTCTTACTGTAGATAGAAATCATTTTCCTTGGGTACCTCTGGGAATGCCAGTAATCTACTTCTAGTTTAATTTTGTTTTTTCTTAAGTGAAATATTTCAGTCATACATAAAACAAGGACAATATAATGGACACTCACTTCCCAGGCCCAGGGTTTGTTTCTTTACTGACAGAATAGGTGTGGTAGTTGGCTTTCCACCAGTATAACAAATATGCAAGGAGAAAAGGTTTATTTTGGGTCCTGGTTTAGAGGTTCCAGTCAATAATAGGACAGATTCGTTGCTTTGGGCTGCTGGTGGAGCGCTGGATGTCAGTGGTAGGAGTAGGTAGCAGAGCAAAATGCTTACCTCATGGCCAGGAAACAAAAGAGGAGAAGGCAGGTTCCCGTTGACCCTACAAGTGCCTAAGGACCTCAGAAGGCCCCACCTCCTAAAGGTTCCACCACCTCCCAATAACACCAGCCTGGAGGTCAAGCCTTTGACACATGGACCTTTGTGGGGTAGTCGACATCCAAACTGTAGCACCGGGTTAAGACACTAGAAATTGATCCTGAGAAAGCTGTAGATGACATCAGCACATCCCAGTGTCAATTTATTGTCATGGTACCAATGACAGACACATGTCCCCTGCCATGTGACAGCCTGCCCCTTCCAACCAGCTGAGGTAATAACATTGCTTGGCTCAGGTGCTCTGAGAAATGAGGGGGTTACTGCAGAATGTGGAAGCCATAGAGGAGTGCTGCCTGTTGGGGCAGAGGTTTCCTGGCCCAAGCTCACCCCTTTATCTACTTGAAAGGATGGAGTTTGTTATTCGTAAATTAGACCTGTGTAAAGTTGACACAGATGTGTGGATTATATCAAGTGCTCAGACAGTGCCTGGCACAGAGCACTCTCCACAGCTGCTGCTTCTGCTGCCCTATTGTCACCTGTGCACCCCAGGACAGTGGGGCTGACTACATCTTCCCTGTGCACCAACACCTGTGCTAGTGCTGCATTCTTGGGTTGTGAGCAGAAATACTTCATTCTGTTCTGGGCACTTCCAAAAAAATGATTTGTAAGATTAAAGTGAAGTTTTGACTTAAAAGCATTATTGATATTTATAGGTTTTACTCTTGCTTATTTGTAAGCATCTATTTTGCTTAGATAATCTTGATTTCCTTTTTAAAAATCAAAGCTGATGGTAATGGTACTTTGTATTTTTAGCATCCCTACCCAACAGAGGATGAGAAAAAGCAGATTGCTGCTCAGACAAATTTGACACTACTCCAAGTCAACAACTGGTAAGAGTCACTGCTTTCTGACACCATGCCCATTACCACAGTGGAGCCTGGAGATCCTGATACTAGTAAGGAGGAAAATACTGTTGAAATATGAGTGCCTCCAACTGCAGTGCTGTGGCATTGGAGTGCTGCAGTCAGGACAGGATGCTTGGGAATACATCAGCACACGATTTGCCTGTCATTTAGATATCATTTAGCTATCCATACTCACTGTGCCTGGAAAGGTTTCTCCGTGGCATCACCACAGAGCATTCCTTTAGAACTGGGATGTTTAGAGGATGACTTCCATGGGCAGGGGCAGTGAGAGCCAGGTGTGCTGACCTCAGAGGACATTCTGCTCTCCTACTTCTGAAACCTACTGCTGTCACTTTGTGCCCGCAGCTCAGGGATGCAGTCTCTCTGTCATCATACCTGCAGCCATTCTGCAGCACAGAAGGGCCTGGAGCTGTTCTTGAGAGGGAACCCGGCAACATCTGCATTTATGAATGCGATATCTCCTTCTGGTTCTAGGGTCACTTATTATTGTGGGCACTTGGATCCTAGCCATGTGTTTCCCATCATGAGAGCTGACACTCATCGCTTGGGTGTTCACACATGGGGTGCAGTCTCATTTTTGTTGTTCAACTATGGGAGGCAGTGTAAGCTTAACAGAACAGGCTTTCGTGAAAGAAAACACAACCTCTACCACTTGTACACATTGGCACCTTTTTTTTTTTTTTTTTTTTGCGGTACTGGGACTTGAACTCAGGGCCTTCATCTTGAGACACTCCACCAGCCCTATTTTTGAGATAGGGTCTTACAAACTATTTGCCCGGGCTGGCTTCAAACCTCGACCCACCTGATCTCTGCCTCCTGAGTAGCTAGGATTATGGCATGTTTTTATTTAACTATGCCAAAATGTAAAATTGTTGAAGTTCGATATAAACAATAAAATCTTCCTATTTATGCAGCCATAGATACAGAGGGCAGGCTTTTGTGTTGCATTAAATACTTTATTATCTTGCATTCAGGCCATTACTTTTTATTTGGATAGCAGTAATAAAACATATTACTTGAGTCATTTTATGTGAAATCCTTTAGCTAGAATGCTAGCAAAAATTAAAAGGGTTCAAGTATGTCATTGCTGTGACATCTGTAACACTGTGGGTCATTCTTGATTATTTTCTCTTTCTTGGAGACAGGGTCACACTATACAACCCAAGCCAGCTTTGAGCTCATGACCCTCCCGTCTTAGCCCCTGAGTGCTGGGATTAGACACATGCGCCACGCCTGCTTTTGGTCTTGGTTATTTTCCTGTAGTTTTATGTGAAAGTGTCACATTTGGTTGATTTGTAAACTGCCATCAGTGATCCACTGGGGAAGAATGTTATATCAGAGGCACATGCCACTCTGGGCTTTTATTGCTGTTCCCCAACTTGGCATGCTGTCACATTCACAGAATTATCTTACCTAAAAGGCTTAATACCGCTTTTAGGCTTTAAACTTAGTAATGTGACTTAAAAATTCTAAATTCCTAAAATCCTTTAATATTTTAGCCACCTTTGCTTTCTGTGGCTTTCTTTCCTTTCATATTTACAAAAGTTACATCATTGATGGACAGAACACATCTCAATAGTGTGAGCCTCTACCTGGTGGCAGCTTAAAGGAGAAGGAAACAGAACCAAGAAATTCCACACAGCAGGGGCCGCCCCTCCAAGGCAGGCTGTAGTGCTGGGGTGGCTCTCTTGCCTGACTCCTGCCCACCTGCTTGTCGCACAGGAACCACCCATCCCCCCAGTGAAGCATTGTAGAGGCTGTCTACTTCATTGTTGGAATTTGTCCTCAGGTCATTTTAGGTAGTCATCTTCTTAGGATCTAAAGTGAAGTAGCCTTGAGCTGCTCCCGCTTAGGTTCTGATGATTTGCAGATGAGGGCATTCAAAGAGGGTCACGGTCAAAAGCAGTGCTTTGTCCCTCATACCACTGAGCCTTATGCTCAGTCGGTCTCATGTTCGCACTGTGGCTTAGAGATACCGTGAATCTGATTGGTTCTGATTTCACTGGAGCTTCTGTGGGGCTTTGCAGTTTTCCTCCTATCGCCTGTGGCTCTGTAGCAAAGCAGCCCCTAGAACCATGTGGAGCAGTGGTTGTGGGGAGAATGCCCGCCAGAATGTATCTGCTGTCACACCCCAGCGGCTACAGGAGGAAGAACCCATGTGGAGTCCGAACTCCTTGCACCCCACCAGCTGCATTCTCATGTCCAAAGGCAACAGCTTGGAGCACTGGGCAATAGAGATTGAAGCAAGCAGTCTCTTCACAGTGTGCACTTGATGTGCAGCCATGTCCAGCCTGTCTCGCCAAACTGTACATTTGCTGCTCTCTATTTGTGGGTCACAGCTAAGGTGTGAGCTCTTAGTCTCACAGAGCATTGGAGCCCATTGAGACTTTCATCACTGCGCACACTCACATGTTGTGCTAGCTGGGTGTCTAGGACGGGTGGATGAACTAGGACCTCAATCATTTGGAATGGTCTTTGGAAAAGGTGAAGCTCTTACCCCAGGCCTCTGCTCTGTGGTGAACATGATGTCTCCTTGATGGCTCAGCATGGGGACTGTGCCAGAGGCACAGGGCACAACCCGTGGGGCAAGGTTCCTACAGCACAACCCGTGGGGCAAGGTTCCTACAGGTTCAGGCTTCTTGGTAGCCTTAGGCATTAAAAGAGCAGAGGATTGCACGAAGTCTTGCTACTTTAACGTTTTTCTTTCTTTAAGAAAATAATGTCAAATTCACATTTATGACATTATAAATATGTAATTCACAGATGGGGAGCAAATCTGAGGAGGTAAAAAATTGCTTCTCAGCCTTTGGGCTAAGTTTAAATGCAGATGAAATTAAAAAAAAAAAACAGGCTGGGTGCAGTGGCTTTACAGCTAGAATCTCAGATACTCAGGAGAAGGAGATCAGGGAGGTTGTGGCTTGAGGCCAGCCTGGGCAGAAAGTTAGCGAGAGTCCATCTCAACACTTGAATGGTGGTACACACCTGTAATCCTAGCTATGCAGGCAATGTAGTTAGGAGGATCGTAGTCTGAGGCCAGCTCAAGCAAACACACAAGACCACACCTGAAAAATAACCAAAGCCAGAAAGGGCTGGTGGTGTGGCTCAAGTGGAAGAGCAACTGCCTGGCAAGTGTGCAGCTGCACGTTCAAGTACCAATCGTACCAAAAGAACAAAAAGGTGCCATGAAAGAGTTGGTTCTTATTTAAGTGAATTGCTTTTTAAGCAGCAGGCTGTTTTTCTGATGTAGATAATTCCTGTTTCTGTCATGCCTCAAGTAGTATTGTAGTGTTCTCCACTTTTTAGCATGGTTCCTAAAGTTGTATGTTCATTAAGAGTATTGACCCAGCACCAGGGCTTCACAAAGGTCCCTTTGTCCACACACAGGTTCATCAATGCCAGAAGACGAATTCTTCAGCCAATGTTGGATTCCAGTTGTTCAGAGACCCCAAAAACAAAGAAAAAAACTGCTCAGAACAGGCCAGTCCAGAGGTTTTGGCCGGACTCTATCGCATCGGGAGTAGCACAGCCCCCGCCTAGTGAGCTCACCATGTCAGAAGGTATGCAGCGCTGTAGACCACAGGTGAAGTGTGTGGGTGGAAGGCCCAGGTCAGCTGTTGTTAGCTGTGAGCTTAGACAGTGTCGTGAGCCAGGTTCATTCTTTAACTGTAAAACACGAAGACGCTTTAGTGTGGATGCATGTTGAAGGGAGCACGTTAAGGCATAGTGGATGATTTAGGACATTTGCACTATGTGAGTGAAATATCATTGATTTTACCTGAAAGACATGGTGGTCATTGAGATGTCTGTCCTATGCTTCCATTTCTGCTTTCCTTTTCTTTCCAGCTTTGGGTGAAAACAGTGGAATCAATCCCATTCTTATCTCCTGATGTCTCACCATTTCTCAGTGCGTGTGCTTGTGTCTGGCTTTTGTTTATTCTCTGACCTGTCTTCCTTTCCCTGTCACAGGCTACCATTCTACTGTGTCTCAGAGCATCTTTCTGTTTGTATGAGCCCTTTACATTTTGAATTGTTTTGTTTCATTTTGAGACCTCCCACCTCAGCCTCTGAGTAGCTGTGACTATAGGTCACACCACCTCCCCCAACAGTGGGCTTATGGTTTGAATATATCTGTACATAGTGCCGTCCTCTCATTCTGTGTCTTTCTTTTTTCCCATGGCGACATACTGTTACCAAGTTAGAAAAGCTCAGGCCATGTTTAATCTTTCAACTTTTTGCAGCGCTGGGGATGGGACTCAGGGCCTTATTCAGGTAAGCAAGTGCTCTGCCACTGACTCCAGCCCCATTTTTCATTGAAATATATTTTCTGACCCTTTAACCCACCATGCTGTCTTCAAAGACTTCAATTGCTTCTGTACTAGATGGTTAGTTTCGTGATGTCAGGAATGCTCTTTTAGTCTCTTTGTTTCATTTCTGGGTTGTTTCTGGACTTCCCTCCTGCAGTGTTTAATTTTGGGTTAATCCCATGCAGTGTGCTTTTCATTTTAGATATTATACTTCTCATATTTCCAAATGTTCTGAGTTTTTGAAAATCCCCTGAGTCTAGTGAATGGTGAACCTATGAAGCAGTAAAAGTAGCTGTTTTAATACTCTTGTTTGCTGACTCCCATCTCTGTCAGTTCTGGGTCTGTTTCAGCTGCCCCTTGTGGCTTTTCTTGCCTCTTTGAATGCCTGGTAATCTTTGACATCGTGCACTTTTCCTTGTCGGGTGCTCAGTCTAGGGCTAATCATACCCATGACTGAGACGAGACTCTTCCGAGTTCTCTACCCAGTGTGTGGAGATGACTTTTCCAGGCTGGCAGTGTGAGCACTGGATGCTGACATCCTACTGCCTTTCACATCTTCTTCCCCAGCCCAGTTGCTTCCTCACACATGCTGGTGTTTCTCTGCTGGGTGCCAAGGCAGATTTTCCATGGCAGTGCTGGTCCTGAGATTATAATGGGCTTGTTTCTTTCTGCTCAACATTTCTTGAGTTGCGTTGTTTTTCTGTTTTTTATTAGCGTGTATTAACGATACAAAGGGGTTTTGTTGTGATGTTTCCATATTGTTATATTCACGTAAAGCCAAGTTTTTCTATGTTATGCTTTGACTTTCTCATTCAGGTTTTGATATTATAGTTGTCTTGTGCTCACAATTAAAAGAGTTTTTATTTTCAGTTTTGTTTTCTCTTTTAGTCTAATAATTAGTTAGAAAAATATTTCTGTGTTAGTCAGCTTTCTATTGCCATAATAAAACACCACAACTGACTTGTAAGGAGAAAGGTTTATTTTGGTTCATGGTTCTAGAGGCTCTAGTCCAAGCTCAGGTGACCCCATTGCTTTGGGCCTCTGGTGAGTGGCACACATCATGGTGAGAGCATGTGGTTTAGCAAACCCCTTATATTACAAATGAGGAAGCAAAGAGAGAGACAGGAATGGGAAGAGCCCAAGTCCCATAATCCCCTTTGAGGGCATGCCTCAAATGACCTGTGTACCTCCCACAAGACCCCACCTCTCAAAGCTCCCAATAGCAGCACCCTGGGGACCAGCCCCTTAGCACATAAACCTTTAGGGGTCATGCATCCAAACCATAGAGATTGTTTTTCTGTCTCTCCCTCCCTCCAGCCCCTGCCTACCTCAAAAAAGACAATATCCATCTATTAGAGAAATAATTTCAAACAGAATATCCTGTGAAAAGTAAATCCTGGTTCTAATAGGAAAGACAGCCATTCCAAATCCTGTGTGTGCTCGAGTGCATATTCTATGTGCAGACATGGATGAATGAATGCATCTCCTAAAGTCTTACCAGATGCTAGCATACCATAAGGCTGTCTCTTCTTGCTTTCCTCACTGATACATCTTGGTGGGGGGGGCGGGTTGTACAGTGTATTGTGTTACTCGCAGTCTCACATTCTGCTGTGCAGTGTCTCTCGCGGGCCTTGTTCGTGGGTTTTGAGTGGCTTCCATCCTCTGCTGTTAGGCTATATGACAGAGATTTACACGTTACAGGGTTTTCTTTTTTTTCCTTTCAAATTCTTACCTTATTCTTTTTGTTTTCCCATTTCTGTTCCTCTTGTATATCTTCTCCTGTGATTTTGGTTTTTTTTGCTCTCTTCACAATGTGCTTTGCCCTGGGAATCTGTTCTTCATTGTGCTGGTCTGTGCTGACCGTGGAAATAGTTCCCCAAGTCCCTGTCAGCTTTCCATAATACACAGTTCAGCACTGTAGGCCAAACAAACCAGTGGCTCCCGCCTGAGTCATGACATGTTTTTCTCTGAGTACTAATGGAAGCAGTGACCCTCTTGTGCTCTGCTGCAGGCGCTGTTGTGACCATCACCACGCCCGTGAACATGAATGTGGACAGCCTCCAGTCCCTGTCCTCGGATGGGGCCACCCTGGCCGTGCAGCAGGTTATGATGGCGGGGCAGAGTGAAGACGAGTCTGTGGACAGCACAGAGGATGACGGGGGCACGCTGGCACCCACGCATATCAGCGGGCTGGTGTTGGAGAACAGCGACTCCCTGCAGTAGGGGAGCCTGCTCGGAGCCAGCGCACCTGACTTTCTCGTTTGCACAGCAAACGTTTTACACAGTTTTATCTCTAGTATGTTTTATATGTAGATATAGGAGAGTGCACTTTTGTATTTCATAGTAAGCTTAAAGGGCGTCCTTGACACGCAGCAACTTCTTCAAATGTGCGTGTGTGTGGGTTTTTAAAGAAGTTCTTTAAAGGTTTAAAGCTAGAAACTTGATGAATGACATCCCCTTTAGTCCCCAGTCAGTTAAGGAATAGTGCTGCCATTTCCTAAAAATTATGCAGTTGTAACTTAGCTCTGTGGTTTCAGCAGGTCTCGGTGGCTGCTCGGTTTGTGTGGCCCACGGATTTGAAGACGCTGTGCACGTGAAGCTGCCGGTGTGAGTGATGACAGCCCACTGTGGGCTGTTTGGCTTCTCGGTATGCATGGCGACTGCAGCACGCCTCAGTTCTCTTCTGGTCAGAGAGCCAGTTTCATTTGCTATGTAGAAAAAGAAACTCCTATTTTTACCTTGCTGGAATTATTGGATAAAAAGCTATTTTTATAAATTCGTTATGAATTGGATTATGATTATATTGAGGATAAAATTTGTAGAGAAGGAACACTACACACTTGTCTTTGGATTTGGAACATTTTTAATTATCCAAATTTAATGGCCTGCCTGCCGCTGGCTACCATCGTAGGGTCTCCGGCTCCCCAGGGAGGTTTACCTTACCTGTGTGAAGAAATGCCTATCCAATGAAATGTTGTTTCTGTGTAATGCTCAATTGCGTTCTACAGTTGTTCTGAACAGGTAGCTAAAGGTGTGTGGTAAGTAGGACTCAGGTGAGTGAGGTACAGATAGCCGGCCTTTAGTCACAGCTCTCACATACTCCAGACTAATTTCAATTCGACTTCAGTTACATGGTTGCTTTCTGTGTTAAACTGTGTGCTGTTTTAGAATTATTTTTAGCCAAAACATGTTATGTATGTATGTTTATTATAAACTAATATAAAGTGTGCTCTACCCCACTGGCTCAGAGCTGGGGTAAACAGAGACATCTGTAAAGTCACACAGTGAGTTGAACTGTGCCGCTGTCATGACAGCAGAGCCACTCCCATTCTCCCCTGCGCCCACCCCAACCCGCAGCAGCTGTGAGGTTCTCCTGGCGCCCCATGTTTTTGTGGTACCTCATGCTGCAGAGTTCCCAGAGCACTCCCCCGACCTAATCACCTGTTTCCTGGTGACATGTAAGACAAACTGAATGATAGATTGGGTTTGGTTCCCTTTGGTTCTGAGTTTTGTGGACTTCGGAGCAGGACTCTTTCTCTAAGAGAAGTCAGGCACTGTCTGTCCCCTCAGATGGGGGCCCAAGGCCCCTCTGCTGACAAAGGACAGCTGTGAGGTTGGCAAAGTCACAGGTCTTGCAATTCAGCAACAGTGAGTGGTTATGGACCAAGGTTACATTGAGGGGCATTTCTAGCTAGTGCAGGACTTTTCTGGATCTGACCCCCCACCGCAAAAACATGTATTAATTATTTATGGGGGAGGTCAGCAAGCAGCTCAGAGAGATTTCTGTAAGATTATTCACAAGCTTCAACTGAAAGAAAAACTTGGTTAGCAGCTTTTGGGGGGAGAAAATGATATTTTTAAGCGTCCTTGCATTCCTTATTTACACTTTTTGCTATTTTAGCCAGAGCTGTGCAGCCTAAGCAGCGTTTTACTTTACTTGATGCCAGCTTTGTTGGACTTCTCAAAACTGGGTCCATGGAAGCCGCCAGCTCCTCCTCCTCCCCCCCCTTCCCTCCCCTCTCTCCCCTCCTTCTTTGGCAGAGCAGGCACACAGCCACAGATTGTAGACGCTTGTGGAAGCCCTCCTGTCTGCCCCCACCAAAAGATGGTCCCAGCCCGCAGGTTGCACTGAGAGGAACATGAGCAGTGTCTGTGTCAGGCTGCTCCAGCTGGGGCAGCTGTGTGTGCGTCACCCACACTGAGTGACGCAGTGTGCATTCTCCAGATGAAATCCAGTTCCCCAAGCCCTGAACTCTCAGAGGCGAAATTCAGAGGAATCACATAAAGAGCAAAAGAGAAGCCGGGTGTGGTTCGAGGCCAGCCTGGGCTACATAGCCAGACTCAGTCTCAAAAAAAAGATCCTACATGAGCTGGCACTGGGTCCTGGCCTGAGTTTCCTTCAACCTGCATGAATACCTGAGGTCTCTTCAGTAACTTCCAAATGGCAAGCTGTTCTGGCCAGTTTGTATCTTAAAAACACCTGTTTTGCAGTCCTCAGTTTGTGGAAAGAATCTGAAAGCATATCCCCTTCAAGCTTCCTCTTAAATGTCAGATTTGATCCCACTGAACTTCATTCTTGCTAAATTCCTCCTTTATGTTGGAGCCTTAAACTGTGTTCTGAGACTCCATTTGGCCCCTTGTCTTTCCTGCTGTTTGGCTGCCGAGCAGAAAGCTAGACTGGCTTGCCTGCTGCAGTCCAGCTGGTGGGCTCAGATAGTCCCATAGGTAGAAGCATTTCTACAGTGTGCAGAGTGATCCTTGCACCTAGGACTTCAGGGCTCACTCTGTGACCTGCTGAGTGGCTGTTCCCACGTGTGTGAGGAAGCAGGGGGGTGCTCTCCTCTCTGGACAGCTCCAGCATGCTAGCAGGTATGTCATCCATCCTGAAGGCCATCCCTGGCAATCTGTCTCTTTTGGTTACTTTCGGTCTTTGAAACTGACAATCTTTAAAATGTGAATACTGTAACAATATGTTTCTTGGATTGTTGTCTTTAAAAAGGATTTTTTTGTGAAGCAATTGATTTATTGAAGCAAAAAAATTAAAAATAGAAACATGCCTTATGGATGTTTTATTTTATAAGGCTCATGTCACCAAAAGCTGCTTTTCCATTTTCAGTGAGCCTTTCAGAGAGTGTGGTGTGTGATGGCCCCTGCACAGGTTACAGGCTGGCACTGCACTGGACTAATAAGATGCATTTGCATTTTCAAAAATCTTTTCTCATATTTCTTACTTCAGTTAGTCATTGTTTTCCAGGAAAAATTGGAAGCAGGCTTTTTGGTGTGGTTTTCCACCAGTCTAATTATTTTAACAGTAATAAGAAGAAAATGATTCGTCAGTAAGGTAACACATAACCTTCTGTGGTCCTTTTATAAAACTTTACAGTGAGACAATTCCTGGCCATATTCAGTTGGAACAATTGCTGAGGGATTTTGTCTGTTGTTCAGGTGTTATGAATGCCAATAGCCATTTATGGAAGTAAATCAGGGGACAGAAGGATTCTTTATTAAAAAGTGCATCTATCATTGTGAATCCTGGTGATCAGAGTGAGACCAAGAGGATATTGCCCAGGAAGTGTTTGATTGGCTGTCAGGAAGTGGGGGCACTGTGTTGTGGCTGCAGCTCCTTGAGGCCAGAGGGGACAGGTGGGCACCAAGCGTATGCACATGGCCTCAGGCCAGCTCCCAGTGCACCAGGCCCCCAGTGCGCCCTTGTGAGAGGGAAGCTTTGGTTCATAGCGGTCATTGCAGCTCTGTCCATGCCCATGGATGATTACCTCTCTGGTAAGATAGAGCTGATGAAGTGAATGGCGGTCTAGTAGACCCTGAGATGAGTAATGTGTTCAGTGTTTGTGTTTTGTCATGCAAGTATCATAGAGCACTTTGTGTTTACCCACAAGTCCTTCCATGTATATTTACTCTTAAGTTACTTTTGCCCTCTTACAATGATTATCTTTTTACCTTCACTAAGACTTAGGACCCCCATTCCATTTTATAACTAAAACATGGAAATACACAGAGCTGTGGCATCTGGGAGGCACTGTCTGCCCCACGAGGAGCCTACCATAGACATGCCTGCTTTCCTCTACACACACACGCACACTCATATACACTCACGTCCACATGCACACGCACGCACCCCCACAGGCATACACACACTCACACACACTCTCACCCACAATCACACACACTCATACACACCAACCACCCCACCCACCCACACACACCGTTCTTCTCCTGGCCTGGGTTTCCTAGGCTCTGGAGGACCAGAGTAGCTATTCCATACAAGCAGTATTTAGACTTTGTCTATACAGATGACTTTATTTTTATCTTGTTACTTAAAAGAACACGAGTGTTCAGCCATGTAAAAACCAACACTGTTTTAGTATAAGTCAGGATTCTTTTATTCCGTATGTTTGCAAATGGTACGTTTACTGATAGTGATGTCTTTAGATATTCCCCTGCCGTGGCACATCAGGAGGATTGACACAGGAAGGTGAGGTAGAGCCAGCCTGGGGAATCCCCACCAGGTAATCGGGCTGGGTAATCCCAGATCGGTAGTCAGACCTGGATAGTCTCGTCTTGGTAGTGTACTTAGGTCTGCGTAATTTGAATGGATTGTAAGTAAACCCACAGACCCATGCTGCTGGGTCTCCACACGGAATTCCACGTGGATTCCTGTCCCAGAAGCCTGGACAACACCAGGTTCCTCACAGACCTGGCCCAGCTGTTCAGCCTCACACCTCATGGATGGCTTCGGTTTTGTTTAGTTTTGTTTTGGAAGTACTTGGGCTTGAACTCAGGGCCTCGTGCTTGCTAGGCAGGCACTCTACCACTTGAGCCACTCCGCCAGCCCTTTGTGACAGGTTTTTTTTGAGTTAGGGTTTGACAAACTCTTTGACTGGAGCTGGCTTTGAACTGCCATCCTTCTTATCTCTGCCTCCTGAGTAGCTAGGATTGTAGTTGTGTGCCACCATCCTACATTTCCTCTTTGGTTTCCAGTCCATGCCTATCACTGCTGTTTAGTCGCTGTCTTGGCTCTGTGTTCTCTCCTGCCACCTCCATGTGCCCCTGTTTTCTATTGTTCCCCGCCATTTCATCTGCCATTCTATTTCCTCAGAGCTTACCCCTCTAAATCAGTAATAATGTTTAGTTGAGACCATATCAATTTTATTCACTAAATTATGTACACGTATTTGTTACCATTGCACATCACAGAAATTCTTAACTTAATTCTACAATTAAAAATTTAATTCAGAGAACTTATAGCAGTCATGAGGAACTAGCCAGCAGCAAGCCTGCCTGCCTACCTGCCTAGCAGTGTTGGTCTTTGGAAGTGAATGTACCCCTGAGATGCCAGATGAAGCATGTTCGTGCACCCTGCCCAGGGAGCCTGGGGTCACTGAGTGGTCCAGGCAAAACCTCTGATTTTTGACCCCAGAGTACAACATTTTGCCCCCTACCAGTTCCCAGCCTCCCTCCCGCTGTCCTCAGGGCCTCAGCCCCCTGAAGACTGCTGAAGAGTTTCTGCCTATGAGATCTTCAGAAGGACTTAGTTCTCATGTTCACAAAGACTTGGTGATGTTGCTTTAGTGACTCCTGCAGCCAGGAAGCCCCTCTGCTGTCAGGGGATGCACTGACCCAGACACCATGAAGCTGGCATCTTGGGATACCACCCAGACTAGGAAATTTCAAGCTAGCAGGAGCATCCTGGAGGGGGTGGTACCCACTGAGCAGCAGCCCTGCTTCTGGGGGAGTTGCCACCAGCTTACAAAGCAAGACTGTACCTGTGGCTAGCTGGTTGTTCACTGCAGAGCCAGGTTCTGTCTTGTGGCTCACTGACAGGCTCCAAAGCCTGTCATGTACCTGCTCAACAAATAGATGACAGGCTCTGTGAGATGGTACACAGATGACTATCACCTGACCACGCACAGCTGTTGTTAGATTCCCTCTTGGGACAGATGCTTTCTGTTTTGACCACAGTGCTTTCTGTTTTGACTATAGTGAGAACAACTAACCTCAGCCACTTCCCTGTTATTCCCCATGAAACCTTGGCCCTGATTTGTCCTATTGGGACCTCATGCACAGCACCCTTGGTGGGACAGCAGGAAAGCCAAGGAAGATGGACAGTGTCAAAGATGAGTGGCCCTGAGATTGCTGGAGCAGGGACACTGGTTGACATCACTTTTGAAGGCTGCTTTTTGGCATGTTGGTGTCTGGGTTTAGCAGGGCCTGAGATAGATCCAACTGTTGCACAAAGCTACAGCCTTGAATGGGTTCAGAGACTGGAGCTGAGTCACTGCATGTGCCCCTAGCACTGAGGCGAGTGAGAGCCCCTGTGAACCACGCAGACACCCCTCTCTTTCCTTCCCCACTCAGCACTGCTCCCCACGGATAGTTTCCTCATCCTCACCGGGGCTTTTCTGCCCTGTCTGGCCACCATGAGGCCTGCGCTCCACTGTGTGGCTCCTCGTGGTACTCTCTCCCCTTGTGTCCTACAACCCGCTCTCGCCTTCTCCCACTTACTGATGCATTCACTCACTCCCCACCTTTCCATTCCACTCCACCCCACCCCACCCCATGCTACTCCCACTCCAGCTTCTGGAAAACACTAAGCTGCAGTTTCCAGGCCTGTCTGCTGGGTTTCCACGTCTCTTTCCTATTATGGACCTTTGAAATTCATTCAGGTGAGAGTTACTCCTGCTGTATCTTCAACTGGCTGGCTGCTGAGAGGGAAACAGGAACTGTCAATTGCCCCTAAGGAAAGCCTGCTCTGTAGGGTGAAAGGTTGCCAAAAAGTCAGCCCCTGCAGAAGGTGCCTAGGTGTTCCTCATTGCACCAGTTTCCTGGCCTCTCTACCCTACCGCCTGCATCCTTTTCAACTTTCTTCCACCCATGGAGTCATTTCCCCAGGATGGTGCTGTGGGCGCACCAGGAACAGCACTGCAGTGGAGGGCACCAGTGTTACGGGACTTCCTAGGCCAGCAAGGATTCATCAACCTGCACAGCAAAGCTGCTGTTAATGCCCAAAGAAGACTCTGCTCCTACCCCATACCTGGCACAATTCAAGCTGTTGATAAAATGCCCAGAGACCTGGACTGTTAGCATAAACAGGTAGGTAGACAGGAGTAGGGAGAGGAAATGCTCCTGGCTACAAGATTCCCCTTTCACAGAAGCAGAATCATAAAACCCCAGATGGCCCAACTCTGGATTACTGATGAATGATTATATATCCTCCTTATCTTGAGCTCTTGAGCACTTCCTATATCAAGACCAAGCATGCGACCTGATGGGGGTACTGACCACTACGTGACCTTCCACTCGTGGCGCTGAACTGGGAAGGACAAAGAGGATCACATGCATAGGTGCCTGCTCTCCCCTTCTCAAAATCATGGGGATATGATTTCCCACAGCGGGCAGCCACTGCAGAGTTGCCAAAACATTTGAAGAGGGCTTCAAGGGGTGGGCCCTAATCTCACACCACCTAGGAACCCTGCCCTATTGCATGATAAAACCCTAAACCCTGGCAACGTCAGAGCAGTCTGCCCTTATCTGAACTGTCTACCTCATGCCTTTGGGTGTACTTTTGTTTTGCTAGTAAATCACTCCTTGCTGTCTTTCTACTCTGGTTCTTTTGCTGCACCTCTGATAGCACCCGAAGAACCAAGATACATCCTATCCCCCATTAGCATTATGGTGCTGTCACTTGGATCTGTTCTTGCCTCCTCTGGTGGCTGGGGGACTGCTTTCTGATACGCCTTTCCACTTTCTTTTAAGCCTAAGCCATGTCTCCCTCCCTGCCTAACCTCCGAGGTAATTGAACAGCAGTGTTTTCCTAGCTTTCTGCAATGTCAGGACCTCACTCACCCATTTGCTGTACAGAGCACGCACTGATGCTGTACATGTTGCATTTATATGAGCCACAAAGCCACAGGCTATGACCCCTTTTGTACCTTCACCCAGGACATCACACCATCAGATTTCTCACTGTTTGTCTATCTCATTAGTCAACTCCAGCATCACAAACTGGAAACTAAGAATCTATGCAGAAAC